CAGCATCTGACAGTTTATTACTTCCTCCTTGAAACATTTTCTTCTTACCTTCTGGGATGCTACTTTCTCCTGGATGTCCTCACCAAGGGACTGCTCCATCTCCACTGTGTCTTCAGTTTCCTCTTTTTCTCTCTAATCTCTAAATGTTGAAGTATGAGGTCTTGATCATAGGACCCTTCTCTTCTTAGTCTACATTCACTCCCAAATTTCTCTCTCTTTTCTGGACTACAAACTGCAGACCTCTTTACAGGACTGCAAATTCAGATAACCATCTCCACCTGCTTACTTGACATTGTCATTTAGTTGTCTAATACACACCTAAAACCTAGTATACACCAAGCTCATTTCTGGTTCCTGCCCCTTCTCACCCATCACAGGAAATAGTGACTCCATTCTTCTAGTTGCTTTTAGACCAGCAACTCTGGTGTTTTCCTTAATGCTTACATTCTCCACGAAATTCTTTGGCATATTCTGTCAGCTTTGTACTTTTACAGTATACTCAAAATCCAACCATGTGTCACCACTTTCAACTCTTGTTACCATCCTAGAATAAGCCACCATCATATAATCTGATCACTGAAGTAGTCCCTAATGATTTCTCTCCTGCTCTTTTCCCCTCCCAATCTGTTCTCAATACAGCAGCCAGAATGATCCTGTTAAAATAGTAAGATCCTATCAATTTTCACTTGAAAACTGTCCACTACCTCATTTTCTCACTTAGTAAAAAAACAGTCTTTAAAATGGCCTATGAGGCTGTACATAATCTAGCCTCTCTACTCTCTTTGCCTCTCTGGCCTCATCTCTCCCTTCATTTCAGCCTCTACTGGCCTCCTTGCTCTTTTTTTTTTTTTTTTTAATGAAAGGGTCGGGGTTTGTGAGAAGGGGTGTTCAGTTGCCTTGTTTGTTTTTGTTGAGACAGAGTCTCACTTTGCCACCCTGCATAGAGTGCAGTGGTGTCATTGTAGCTCACCACAACCTCTGACTCCTGGGCTCTGAGCAATCCTTCTGCCTCAGCCTCCCGAGTAGCCTGGGACTACAGGCACTCGCCCCCGCCCTAATCTTTTTGGTAGAGTGGTAGAGATGAGTGAGGTCTCACTCTTGTCCAAGCTAGTCTCTGAACTCCTGACCTCAAGCTATCCTCCCGCCTTGGCCTCCCAGAGTGCTAGGATTACAGGCATGAGCCACCATGCCCTGCCTGGCCTCCTTGTTCTTAAGCACATTTTTGCCTCAAAGCATTTGCACTTGCCCTTTCTCCAGGTATCCTATTCAAGTGTAAGTCTTCTCTAATATTCTATTTATGTAAAATAATAACCTCACGGACCATGGTTTTGTTTTTCACCTGATTTATTTTTCTCCACAGTA